GTCTCTCCCCCCTCCCCCCCCCCCCCCCCCCTTCCCCAGTTGTGTGTGTGTGTGTATGTGTGTGTGTGCACTCATGTGGTTCTGACTGTTTACGCGCGCGCGCGTGTATGTATGTATGTATGTGTGTGTGTATGTGTGTGTGTGTGTGTTTGTGGCACAGTGGTGCGAGGCAAGATCATGATAGTAGCTGTGATTGGCGTGGTGGTCCTTGCAACGCTGGCAACAGCTCAGCCTGTGCCGAATTTTATGTCAAAGTCCGACAACGAGCGAGTGCTCGTGGATGCCAGCTTTGGCTTCAAGGGCGAGTTTGATGCCTCGCCTGGCTCGGCCGAGGGCTACGGTCCGTTTTTGGACATAATGTTCCCGCCGTCGATTGATGCGAGTGGTGCGTCGTTCACCACGCCGCCTATTCCGGGGCGGCCGGTCTCGTTGTTTGAGCTCACGGCGGAGAGCCCGTGCATTACCCACCCTTTCCACCAGACGGCGCCAGGCGTGTACCGCGAGATCTGCGGCGAAGCCGGAGCGACGTTTGTTACCTTTACGCTTCCCTTTGCGTCGTTTTTCCCATCGCAGCCTGCGGTGGCGATCCAGGCGGACGGGCTCAAGTTCCGTGATCCTGAGGTGACGGCGGTCATCGAGGAGGTCGTAGCAATCAACGTCACGTCGTACTTTAGATACGGCGCGACAGCGGCCGACGACGTGGCAACCGATCCGGTCATTGGTCCGGGCTTTGACGTGTGGTACATCACGCCTGCGGTGTACACGCTCACGTCCAAGGTGGGCGCCAACCCTCCGGTGGGACCGTCGTTCCCGCACAAGCTCGAGGTGGAGGTCGACATTGCGGACGGCTACACGTTGACATCGATCGCCATCGACCAGCTCTTCCTTCCGGCACCCGGCCTTGTCGACATTACTGGCTCGGCAGTGACGGTTGGTACTGGCGGTATGTCGCTGCCGGCGGCGGTGGGCCCGGGTACGAGGCGACAACCATCCAGTTTACGCAGGCGTCGGCAACAGGCACAGTGGCCGACAAAGACCTCGCCTTTGAGGTCGACTTTTACTTTCCGTGCACGGAACTCCGTGCGAGCGCGCCGCTCCTTGATCCGATCACCGGCGTGTCGCGGACGTTTCCGCTCAATACCACTCAGCTTTCCGGCTTTGTGACCATCAATGGGACGGTTGCCGCCACAAGCGCGAGCTCTGAGCCGGGCTCGCTGCTCAAGACGCCGTTCACCTTTGGCCACACGAAGGCCGAGATTGTGGAGAACGTTGGGCTCGATGGGTACTCGCCCGGCGATGTGGTCGAGTACACGCTGCCCATGGTAGTCTCGGATTGCTACGCCTTTGACGCTCTCGTCTTTACCGAAACTATGCCCGATGGGCAAACGTTTCTGCAGGAGGCGACGACACCTGGTCGCGGGCCGACGATCACGGGAGGCTCCGGACCGTTGACGGTCGGCAACAGCCTGCTTCAGGTCAACACGAGTGACGTCGGGTTTGATACCGACACGTCGACGTCGGGCAGTACGATTATCACTTTCCATGTCTCGGATGCCATGCTGAATCTGGCGAGTGTGGCGGATGGCGTCCTGGTTGGACCGCTCGGCACGACGATTACCTTCTACGCGCTCATCAACGACAAGTTCACCGACTCGAGCCCGGGTCTCAACGACCCGATCCTGCATCTCCAGGTGCTCGAGACGTCAGCGTCCATGGTGGGCAGGATTGTGGATCGCAGCGACACGTCGATCAAGTACAATACGCTCGCTGCGTCGGACGGGACCTCGCTCCAGATCGCGGTGGGCAGTGTCGAACTAGACATCATTGGCATCGACGGTGTGGTCTGTGATCCACTCCCGTGCGTCAAGGGCTTCAAGCCGCTGCTACCGGTCACGTTCCGGATGAGGTACACGCTTCCGTCGACCGACTTTGACTCTGTCCTCCTCGAGTCGTTTCTTCCGGTCCCGCTCTTTGACATCTCGGACGTCGACGCCAACATGCCGTCTGCGTTTGTAGAGGGATCTGGCCCGTCGGCAGACCTTCCTGCGCTCGGATTTTGCAAGTTTGGCTTTAACGACACCTTTTACGGCCTCGATGCACCGGCGACCAAGATTGTGCCGACTGTGACGACCAACGTGGCCACAAACCTCATCTCGTTCAACTACCCGTCACCGGGCTACAGCTCGCCGATGAATAACTTTACGACGATGGAGCTCTATTTCACGACTCGGATTACCGGGGCGCCGTACCCCGACGCTGACTTTATTGTGGTTCTCGGCCAGTCGACCGAGACCTCGTTTGCACTCTCGTCGGCGCAGTCGACCTCACAGCTCTCGGTGGAGCAGCCGCTCCTGGTCCTCACCACCGGCATTCTCGACACCAACTCAGCCGAGGCGTATGTGGCCGACGGCAATGGGGCCAAGCTTGCAGACGGCGTGACTCAAGCCGGACTGGCGCCGTTTGACTTTGCCCGCGCTGCATCGTCGCTCTGTCCGGCAGCCGTGGCGGTGAACACGTCGCGGGTGATGGCGGACCCGCTTGCCGGCGTGCAGGTCTACGACGTCGACGGTGGCGATCTGGTGGCGTTTTCGGCGGTTGTCCACAACCGCGGGCGTGGCGACGCGTACGACGTTGTGCTCGGTGCCGATCTCCTCCCTGTTGTCTTTGAGGAGCCGTCGTTCGGACACACTCTGTGCGTGACCGACGGCACCGGTAACCCGGTGCCGTATACGGGCTCGTTCTTCTCCACGACGCCGGGCATTACGCTCACCAACCCGATTCCAGCAGGCAAGGACTCTGACGGAGCTGTCATTGACGACGGATCGAACATGGTGGTCGTTACTTACGTCCGCGCAGTGCCCGACAATGTTGTGGTTGGCGCCGTGGCCGGAACCACCGACGCTGCAGCCACGATCCCGGAGCGAGCCGAGGCAACACGGCTGCTCAATTATGCATCCGGGCCGGGCGGCGACAACTTTGTCGGCTCGCCCAACATTGCTGATGCTGGTGCCCAGACCGACTCGCCGCCGATGTACGCGTCTGTGCGGACGACGACGACGCTCAACGTCGGTATCGCGAGCACAAACGTGGCGCCGGCGCAGTACATGCCTGGCTGGTCCGGGATGGAGCTGCCGGTTGCGGTCGGCGAGCTCGTCACGTTTAACGTCAGCTTTGAGCTTCCGGAGGGAGACAACCGTGCGACGATCCTCGAGCTCAAGTCTGTCGGCGGGCCGCTGCTCGAGATGCTGTACGTCAATTTGACGGGCGTGGGAGCCTCGCTCTCATTCCCCGACCTGACGCCTTCGGACGCGGCGTCGGTGCTGGCGGCAGCAGTCTCACCGGTGCCGGTGACGTCGACGCTCGTGCCAGAGACGATGCTGACGCTCGACTTTGGCTCGGTGATCAACACGCCCGACGGCGGAATCACCGCTGACGACTGGATCAGCCTAGAAGTGACGGCGGTGGTTCGGTCCGAGGCGGCGATTGTGGCCGGAGCGTCTGTCAGTCCCTCACTCCGGGCCTCGCTCATGCCGTCGCATGTTGCGCAGGCTCGGGAAGACACGCCACACAACGTGACGACACCCTCGCCGGATCTTGATCTCACCTTGGTCGAGCCGCTGCTTGAAGTGGCGTACACCTTTGATCGGGTCGGGTCGACAAGCGAGGACGCCGGTAGTGTGCTTGCATTTGCGCTGACGGTGACGCACGCGACAACGTCGACCGGCCCCGCCTTTAACGTGATCCTTGCCGAGGACTTTGTCCGCGGCGGAGGCTTCGGCTACCTCGAGCTCGTGCCGGGAACTGTGTGGGTGGATGCAGCCGGCACGGCAACGGTGACGAGCGGCAACAATGGCGGCGATAGCACCGTCAATGTAGTCGTCGACGCGTTCCGCAAGAGCGATGCTCCGGTGGTCGTCCACTTTGAGGCTCGTCTGACGGATGCCGTGTACCCGAAGCAGAACGTGGCGGCGAGCGCTGGAGTGGTCGGTTACGACTCGCTCCCTCGCTCGCTCTCATCGTCGGGCGTGTACCACGAATCTGCAGCAATGCGCAGCTATGTCGGCGTCTTTGCCGACACCTCGCTGGTGGTCGCAGAGCCGACCGTGTCGATTGGCGTGGTAGCGACGTCAGTGGCAGAGACCGGATTTGTCGACGGCGGCTCGGCCGGCGATGCCGACGTAGCGATTGGAGAGAAGGTGACTCTGGTCCTCAACGCAAGCCTGGTCGAAGGTAGCTACGGCGTGGACATGCGGCTGGCGCTAAGTCCAAACCCCAGCGATGGCGCTCTCCACGTACTCTCTGTGGAAATCATCGGGGCGCCCGAGACTGGTTTCACGGCCTCCAACTACACGGCGGCGCTTGCCGCTGGGCCGGCGGCGCTGGCGGCGTCACCGCTTGACGTGACCAGCGATTCGAGCTCGGACTCGGGCCCGCTGCCGTCGGGCGATGGTCTTGCCGACACGGTGCGGGTCCGGATCGGCAACGTGGTTGTAACCGGTGACAATGTGACGTCTGCGGCAGAGTACAACGATGTGGTCTCGGTCCGAGTCGTGGGCTTGGTACTGCCGCTCGGGAGTGTGGACCAGGACGATGTGATCACCATCGCTGGCGCTGTCGACTACTACGTACCCGGCGTGGGGATGACGACTGCATCGGCCGAGACGGTTGCAGTCGATGTCGTCGAGCCTTCGCTCAATCTTGGGTACACCAACTCGAAAGCCTCAGCGCCTGGCACCACCGACGCTGGTGATGTCGTGATCTTTGAGCTGAGCGTGGCGCACACCGGAACCGGCAAGGCGCCCGGCTTTAACGTGACTATCATCGAAGACTTTGCGGCCGGCGGTGCAGGCGACTATCTTGAGCTTGTGCCCGGGAGCGTGAGTGTTGTGCACGGCTCGGCGAGCAGTGTGGTGCGCGGAAACGACGGGGGCGACGGGCAGGTGATTGTTGTGCTGGACACATTTGCACTCGGCGCGGGGCCGTCCACCATCATCTACCACGCGCGGGTGACCAATGCGACGTACGCAGCACAGACGATGACCCAGACGGCGTCGATGGTCTACCAGTCGATCCCAGCTTCTGACGGCGACCGGAGCTATGTCCGCGACTACGGCCCGGTGACGGCTGCCACGTCGGTTGTGACGGCGTCGCCGTCGACAAGCGTCTCGCTCGGCTCGACCTCGCTTGGAGAGACGCTTGGGAACAAGCTGGCGATTGGGGAGGAGTTTGTGGTTCGGTTCGAGACAACGCTCGTCGAGGGCCGATACGAGCTCGGGGCCGAGCTGGCGATGGATGGCATCGATGCTGAGCAAATTGAGGTACTCTCGGTGGCTGTGGTCAACGTCCCCAGCTCGGGCTTTACCCGTCCAACTACACGGCTCAGCTCTCGAGTGCCACGTTTAGCAGCGCGGTGGATGTGACCAGCGACGCAGCGTCTGACACACGACCGACGGGTTCCCAGGATGGGTTTAAGGACACGGTGAGCGTTGACTTTGGGTTTGTGGACGTGGCCGGCGACAACATTGTGTCTGCGGCTGGGTTTAACGACGTGGTGGTTGTCGAGGTTACGGCGCGGCTGATCGATGCTGTCGACAACAGCAACGGCGGCACGTTTACACTTGATGCAAAGTCAGTCCTCACGCCTGTCGACCAGTCAGCGCCGGCGACGGTCTCCAGCGCCAGCCTGGTACTCGAGGTTGAAGAGCCGAGCCTTGCTCTGGCGTACACCAACTCCAAGGTCTCGCTTCCCGGGACCACAGATGCCGGCGACACGGTGAGCTTCACACTGAGTGTCGACGGAGTTCTGCCGGGCACAGCGTACAATGTGACGGTGATCGAGGACTTTTCGCGATCGGGCGGGTACCTCCGGCTGGTGCCCGGGTCTGTGGCTGTGACGCATGCCGGGGGAAGCTCTGTTGTGCTCGGCAACGGTGGCAGCGACGAGACCATCCAGGTTGTCCTGGATGTTGTCAGCGGAAGCAGCCCGTTGGCAACGATCAGCTACTCGGCAGTGGTGAACGATGCGGCGTACCCTGCCCAGGGCATCGAGCAAGCTGCCGTGGCGCACTTTCAGTCGCTACCGACTATCAGTGTCGAGGCTGGGCGTGGCAACGTGCGCGACTACCCGGCTGTGGGCGCAACGACAGCGTTTGTGACGGATGAGCCATCGACAAGCGTGGCGATTGTGTCTACATCACTGGGCGAGACAGCGCTTGTCGACGGCGGCGCGCCTGATGTTGTCGACGTCTCGATCGGCGAGAACGTGACGGTTGTACTTAATGTGACGCTCGTGGAGGGTTCGTATGAGGTGGACGGGATGGTCAATCTGACATCTGCAGCCGGTCTTGGGCTCATTGTCATCCACGACATTGACCTAGTCGGAGCGCCGAGCGCCGGCTTTACACCTTCGGCATTCAGCGCCGCACTCTCTTCGGGGCCCAGCGCGCTGGCAGCGTCACCGGTGTCTGTTCTGAGCGAGGCTGGGCGCGAGTATGTCGGCGATGACGGCGAGTTCGACTCTGTGCTGGTCGAGTACGGAGCCGTGTTGGTGGCCGGCGACAACGTGGTGTCTGCAATCGACTACAACGATGTACTGGGCGTGGCCATCACGTTCTCAGTCCTCGACACCGGGGCAGCAGTGCTGAACAACAGCCTCAGCCTTGGCGCCGGAGTTCGGTACAGGTCGTTTGACGGACTCTCAGATGGTGTGGTGACCGGGCCAAGCGTATCGTTTGAGGTTGTGGAGCCGGAGGTCGGTGTTGTGAGCGTGAGTACGAACACGAGTAGTGATCTCGACTCTGGCGATGCCGTGGGTGTCCAGGTTGTGCTGGCGCATACGGCGGCTTCGCGGGCACCGGCGTATGACTTGGTGATGGTCTTCCCGGCGCCGGCTGGCATGCAGTTTGTGCCTGACAGCGTGATGCTGAGCAACGGGCCTGGCGATGTGACGTACACGTATGCTGCCAATCTCTCGTCTGTGACTATTCGCGGGTTTAACTCGCTGGATGGGTGGACGCGGGACGAGGCGGAGCTTGTGCTTGATGCAGTGCTGACGCTGACCGATGGCGTCGAAGAGGGTGCGAGCTACGCTATTGCGATGGGGAGCGTGACGACGAGCTCGGCACCTGCTGCTGAGCATGCGAGCACGCCGCGGAGCTACGCAGTGGGCGGCAGTGGGCTTGCGGCGAACGCAGTGGTCTCTGCTCGGACGGAAGGCCTGCGGTATGAGCTTGTCGTTGCGGAAAACGACCACATGGCGAGCGGGCGTGGGCTGAACCCTAGTTTGACAGCGTCGAGTCTCTCGATCGGCGAGTCTGTGGTGTTCAACGCTACGCTGTACGCCATGGAAGGCACAACGCGATCGGCCAAGATGGTTGTGCGGATGCCGAGTGTTGGCAGCGAGGGGATGGAGCTGCGGGTTGTGGCGGCGAGCGTGGCCCATATTGGCAGCGACATTGACCAGGGCGGTATGACGCTTGGCGTGGGCTCGAGCGCAAGCGCGACGACAGTGTCGGACGCCGTGTTTGAGTTTGGCGACGTGGTGGTTCGCGGGACGAATGCGCTTTCTGCGCCTGGAACGGTCGCGCCTGTCGACGGGATCCAGGTGGTAGTTGCGGCAGTGGTGACGGGCGGATCGCCGTCGATCAACGCCGCCGGCGATGCTGGCGATGCGACGCTGTACTACCCGGACGCACCGCCCGCGTCGTTCTCGTCGTTTGTTGTGGCAGGGCTCGACATTGTTGAGCCGTCACTCAACGTGAGTATTACGCCGAACACCACGTTTCGGCGCTCTCGTCGCGATATGGGTACACGCTCAAGGCGAGCCACGATTCCGGCGCTATTGCTGCTGGAATCTCTGTCCACGCGTACAACGTGACCCTTGTTACGACGACGCTCCCGAGCGATCTCACGTTTGTCGAGTCGTCAGTGGTGGTGCGTGTGGTTGACTCGGGCGTCACGACGGCCACGGCGCTGGATGAGCTGGACGTGACCGTGGTGAGCGGGAACAGTGCCGCGGACCGAGTCGTTGAGGTCCATGTTCCAGTTCTTGCGTTTGGGTCGAGCCTTGAGGTCGACTTTGCTGTGGCAGTGGACTCGGACGTGGCCGATTTTTTCGTGACCAACGTGAGCGCAAGCTACGCGTCGCTCCCTCACTTGCTCACGTCTGCTGACGTGACTCATGCGGAGATTCGGACGTATGCAGTGGACGCGACGTCGGTTGTCGACTCGCGCACGGCCGAAGTTGTTCATCTTGTGGCGACAGGCACATCGCTGACCGAGACCGGTATGTCCGCGTTCAACACGTCCCTGCCGGATGTGGTGGCGGGCGAGCGGATCGACTTTGAGGTGAGTGTTGTTGTTGGGCCTGGGCAGCACAGCGACTCGTGGGTCTACGTCGACGCACAGAGCTTGGGTGGTGCACTCTCCGATGCTGGTGGTGTGGCGGTGTCGTTCTTGGATTTGCCTAGCGCACGGCCGACAGTGACGAGCTATGGCCCGCTGATCCGGGTCGGACCGGAAGTCTTGGGCTCCGTGGCGACGTTGCTTGATCTCGACAGCGACGGCGTCAACGAGACGCTCGGGTTTAACCTCGGGTTCGTGGAGTTGGATGACCTGGCGGAGGGCACGGCAGTCGCCGACCATACCATGACGTTCAATGGAAGCGCCGTAGTCCTACCCGTGGGGCCAACTGGCGTGTCTGGGCGAGTCATTGAGCTCCAAGCACGGGCGGTTTTCTCGTCGGGCGTGCGGGTGGCTGCGACGCCGCTGGAGCCGGTGGCCGAGATTATTGTCCCGCTCCTTACCATTAACGCGACAGCAAGCTACAACCGGACGCGTGTTGCAGGGTATGCGGGCTCGCTGCTGGAGAGCGAAACGCGCGAGCAGGTGCTTGATGGAGGCGACTTTGTACTTGTGACTCTCGACGTGGGGCACAATGTGTCGCATCCACTCGAGGCGCTGCAGTCACAGTCGACGGCGTACAATGCTGTGGTGAGCTACCCTGTTCCGGCTGGTCTCGAGCTTGTGCCGAATAGCGTGGTGGTGACGACCAACGGGGCACAGACGAGCTCCGGCGTGGTGGCGAGCGGCAATGGCGCCAACGATGGCAGTGTGACCGTGACGCTGACAAGCGTAGGACCGCCTGGCCCGGATGCTGGGGTGCAGGTCTCTTTCCTGGCGCGGGTGCGGCAGGATGGATCCGCCGGGCGATTCCCTGTTGACGCCAGTGTTTCATACGGCTCGGCGCCGGGAGGCAGTGAGCTCGTCAGCTACTCGCGGGCAGACATCGATACTGATGCAACTAGTCCCGAGCTTGCTGTCGACCACACGCCGCTCAACGTGACACTGCAGATCGGGTCGAGCGCTGACCCGACGACGGTTGGCGGAGCACTCGCGATTGGCGAGCAGGTGGTGCTCGAGGCTGAAGTGGTGCTCCGCGAAGGCGATTACGACCTCAAGGTGAACGTCTCACTCGGAAGCGCCGACTGGGAGATTGTCGACGCATACGTGGCCAGCTACGGTGTCGGTATGTCGTCGACGGCGATTCCTGCGACGCTGGCGTCGTTTGTTGGCGTGAGCACGACTGCTAACGCACCGGTGAGCGGTGAGACGAGTGTGACGTTTGACTTTGGCGAGATGAGCGTTGCCGGCAACAACGAGATTGGCGATGAACGTCTCGTGGTGGCTGTTGTGGCACGCCTGGCGGACGAGAGTGTGAACAGCAACGGCGCGGTGAAGGCGCTCGGCGCGGTGGCCGCCGTGAGCGAGTCGACGACGAACGGGTTGCAGCTGGTGCCGAGTGGGAGAGCGCAGTACGGACTCTCGCCGATCAACGGCGGTGTGACCGGGATCGGCTCGCTTGCGGTGGGAGTGGTGGCACCCGAGCTTGTTTCAACGATGATGGCGAACATCACGACCGGCAATGCAGGCGAGCCACTCCAGCTTCAGTTTGCTGTGCGGCACACGACGGCGTCGACAGCGACGGCACATAATGTGAGCGTGACGCTGGATATGCCAGCCGGCATGGATCTGTTGCCTGGCACGGCGGTGATTGTAGTCGATCCCCAGTTCGGGCCAGTAAGTGCGGTGGTGGAAGTCGACGAAGCACAGAAGGTGCGGGTGGTGTTTGATGCGCTTGTTCTCGCACCGGGCGCTTTTGTCAACGTCACGTTTGATGCACAGTTCACCACAGACGTGGCACAGGGCTCGATCCTGCAAGTGCCTGCGAGCGTGGACTACCAGACGAGTGCCGCCGCTGCCGGGACGCGTGTGCTCGACGGATCGACGGTGTTTGTCATCCAGACATTCATCAACGGGTTCGAGGTGACGCTTGAGCTTGACTCGAGCTCTGTGGCGGAGACGAGCGGTGGAGCGCTCAACGTGGGCGAGAACGCGACGTTTGTCGGCTACCTGCGGGTGCCGGAGGGCAAGGGGCTGCTTGTGGCGAACATCTCATTTCCGGACGTGTTCCAGTTTGGATCATCATCACCGTCTGCGCCGGCGTCGCTGCGGATTGTCGAGGCGTATGTGGCCAGTGTTGGTGGACAGCTGAGTGTGAGCAAGCTGGGTGTGAGTGCGCTCGGCAGTGTGTCGACCGACGGACTGGTGGCAATGTTCGACTTTGGGACGACGACAAATGTCGGCGACAACCAAGTGACAAGCGATGACTTTGTGACTATTGCCGTTGTGGCGCAGGTGGTCGACGACGGGTCGTACTCGGTTGCCGGGCGAAGGGTGAACGCGACGCTTAGTGGCGCATACAACGGCACGTCGTTCGAGAACGAGTTTGCCGAGGTCCGGGTAGTGGAGCCGGAGCTTGTGATGGACCATGTCTACGCCGGCTTTGCCAATGTGACGGCCGGTTCGATTGTGAGCGTGACGACAACAATCCGGTACGATGCCAGCAGCGGAAGCGGGCCCGGGTTTGGTCTGCTCTACAACCACAGTCTTGTGGCAGACGAGGCTACGGCAATGCTCTCACTTATCCCTGGTTCAGTCTCTGTCTCTGGTGAGCTCCCTGGAGGAGTGAGTACGCTGGCGACGCCTGTGGTGTTTTCAGGCAATGGCGGGAGTGATACGGCAGTGGTGATCGGCATGGAGAAACTTGAGCCTGGGCCGCGGGCCGGGGTTGAGTTCTTCAACGTGACGTATCAGCTGTTGGTGACCGGCAACGCGCCGAGCGGAGCGCGACTGGAGATCACGCCGCCGTCGTTGAGTGTGGGCTCGCTCCCGCTAAGCGGTTTCCCGGGCCGGTGTCGAGGCGTACACCGAAACCAGCACGTTGGCCGGGGCACGTGTTCAGAACGTGGCGGTGAACAACGACGCTGCGTTTGCGAGCGTGTCCGAGGTGTCGATCGAGTCTGTCCGCACATTTGGGCTCCTCGGCGTGAGCGGGTCGCTCGCCGTGGGCGAGCCAGTGACGTATGAGGTTGTTGTGCGGATTCCCGAGGGTGTGACGTACAACATGTCGGTTGCGGTCGCAGGGTACGACGCGAGCAATTTGGTGATGCTCAACGCAAGCGTTGCAGGCTGGTCGGCAGCGCTTGACGGTGTGGCCGACGAGGCCGGCAGCTTTTCCGGACTTGGTGCAGGATCAGAGAGCGTCACGTTTGCGCCGTTCTCGACGATTGTCAACAACGATCGTGACGGAGCGACGGCGGAGACGGTGACGCTGCGCTTTGTGGCGGTGCCTGTAGCGGGAGCAAGCGACGGTGCAGAAGTGGCACTGCCGACAGCAGTTGTCCAATACGCACAGGTCGGGCCGAGCGTGGAAGCGCTTGCTGTGGCCGACGCGGCTGCAGCAGTGGCGAGCCGGAGTGCAACCGAAGTCAACGGGCTGACACTGGTGACGACGACCGGCGATGTATCGAGCGGGTTTGTGGGCGGCGAGGTGACGATCCGTGAGCCCAAGGTGGAGGTGCTGTCCGTTGTTGGGACACACGGCAATGACGTGGTTGTGCCAGGTGAGGTGGTGACCTACACAGTGACGATTGGCTCGGAGCCCGACCGGGCGAACGCGACGGCGTGGGATATTGTGGCGACGCTTGGCGCCGGAAACGGGATGCGCTATGTCGACGGGTCGTTTTCACTGGTCTCGGGCGTGGGCGTGGTGGTGGCTGGCTCGTCGAACGCGACCGGGGCCAACGTGACGTTTGCGGCGAGCGGAATGGGCATCGGCTCCAGCTCTGTGTTTGAAGTCAAGTATCAAGTGGCGGACGACGCCGCAGCTGGGCAGGTTGTGACGTCGCTCTCACCTGAAGTGCAGTACGGGTCTGTGGCTTTGAGCGCGGTTGAAGCGCTGGGGTGGTATGACATTGCGAGCCTGCGGCGCGAGTACAGCGCAAGCAGTGTTGTACACGAGACGGTGAACTCGCCCCCGATCGCGGTGGATGACGTGGTGATTGCAACCGAGTTCCAGGTGTCATACGTCAATGTGTCGGCGAATGACGGCGACGTGGACGGCAACTTGTATCCAGAGACGATCACGCTGTTGACAGCGCCGGCGTGGGGCGCAACGGTGGAGGTGGTGAGCGACGAGGCTCGCTGTGGGAGCTCGCGGTCGTGTGTGGCGTATCGGCCGCCGGACAACTTTTTCGGACGCGACGACATCCAGTACCAGACGTGTGACTCGCGTGGAGCATGCTCTGTGGCATGGATCAACGTGACGGTGGCGTTTGGCGTCGACGCGGAACCGGTGTTGAAGATGGAGGCGTACTCGGGATCGGTTGGGCCGGGGTGGCCGGCACCGGCGCTCGACGACCTGCCTCTGCAGCGACTGCTCCGGGAGACTGGAGAAGTCGGGGATGACGCGCGAGTGTTTGGCAGCTACATTGTGTCTGAGAACGTCGATGTTGAGATTGCCAGTATGACTGTGCTGAGCGAGCCGGGCGCGCGCGTGCCATCATGGACCGGCTTCCGGGTGTCTGTTGTGGACCCAGACTTGTTCAACGTGGTTGGACAGGTCCGCCTAGTTGCGGCCAACGGGACGGTGGCGTTTGGGTCGACGACTGGGCTTGTCTCAGCCGACGGGACGAGCAACGGCGAGTCGGTGGTGGTGTTTGACGGGCAGGGCGCTGCGGTCAACGCGTCGCTGGCGACGCTTGTCTTTACGCCGACGCCTGGCTTTGTCGGCTTGACCTGGGTCTCGATCGAGTTTGATGACCGGTCCGGAACTGGAGGCGGTGGGCCGCACAATGACTCTGTCGTTGTCGTCTTTGACGTTGTGGGCATCGAGACGATTCCAGAGCAGACGATTCTCCGCGTGAACGCGCCCGAATCAGGGTCTGTGGCAGGCGACGCTGTCCGTGTCGAGCTGCAGTTTGTGGACCAGTTTGGACGGAACCTAACGAGCAGTCCGACGGCCGGCGGCGCGCCGCTTGCGGTGCAGGCGGAAATGGGCCACATTGGCGGGTGGCACGATGGACACACGGTGTCGCCTGCAGGCGGCGTGGTCGACGCCGGCTCGGGGCTGTACGTGATGACGTTCAACGCGACGGAGCGGGCTGGGCCGTACGAGCTGCGGCTGACGATGGATCCTGACGGTCCTGCAGGCCCTGCGGCGCCGGGCTCTGCTGGACTGTACGGCTCTGCGGTGGCATCGACGGTGAGGATCAACGCCGACACGCTGACGGCGTGCGAGGGCGTGGCGCGGTTGACGCTGCTAGCGGCCTCAGGCGTGTGGGAGCGGTATGATGTGTCTGTCCGTGACCAGTACGGTAATGCCGACCCGGCAGCGCTGCCGGGGGTGGGCGATGACTGGCCGGGCACGCTCGTGTGGGACAAGCCAGGCGATGCTGACTTTGTGGCACGATCCAGCCAGGCAGCCGACGGTGGGCTTGTACTCGAAATCCGGTACGAGACGAGCTCTAGCGCAGCACCGGGCTACTACGGATTTGCGATTGTGACGAACGCGACGAGCGGCAACTGCACGATGCGTGGGAACTTCCTTGCGCGCAGTGCTGCACCGCAGATTGTGGCTGTTGTGGGTCGAGACGATGGCGAGGTGGACGAGGTGAACGACGACTTTACTGTTGGCGACACGGTGACGGTTGTGTTCGACATGGAGACCAACGCGCCGTTTGCCGGGAACAAGGTTGCGATCGACGCATTGCTCAACTTTAGCACGCCGCTCGGGGCCAACTACAGTGGGGTTTGGACGAGCCCAGCGACGAACCTCACGATCACGATTCACAACACGAGTATTGCTGCTGATCAGCGGCCTCAAAGTGAGGAGCCTGTCATTGGTGTGCTCGTGGTTGAGACTCGCGTCGCCGGCGTTGTGCGGGCGGGTGACGGATCGGACGACGTCATTGTACCTGTTGGCGTGGTGCCGATTCTCGGCAAGTCGAACGAGACAAAGCCGTGTACGAGCATGGCGACAACGACGGGTGACTGGGGCGAGGGGCGGCCGCAGTCGAACCAAGATGACGATATCATCACGACACTGATCGGTGTGGCGTCGACGCCCGTCGGCATCTTGGGCATTGTTGCAGCGGCGACAGTGCTCATTCTTCTCTGCTGCTGCTGCTGCTGGCTGGTGGTGCTGTGCTGCCGGCGGCGGCGGCCGCTTCACGGCGTGTGGCTTAATCCGCCGACGCATACAGCGGTCCGGTCCGGGCGGTACATGGCGAATGGGCTGGATGAGACGCAGGGTCTGGACATGTCAGTGCTCGTTGCGCCGTCGGCCGGACGCGAGGCCAAGCGCAAAATCCTGTACAAGATGCCGGCGTCGGCGCAGAAGGCTGTGGTTGTCCGTGAGAGTGCCGAGACGAAGACGGTTCAGACGACCAATGTAAGCAAGTCGAGCAAGCGGCGACGCAGGCGTCGGCCAGCAGGGTCATCACATGTGGTGACGACGACAACGACGACGGCCACAGCGACCCCAGGCGCCGTCCAGTACATTTACGAGTACTCGTACACGACACTGTCGGGCTCCGACTCGGCGTCGTCGATCTCGACTACAACGCAAGGCATCGCCATGTCGTCGTTGCAGGAGAGCGGAAGGTCATCGCTGTCGGAGACAATGCGGACAGAAGATCTCGACGCCAACCTGTCGTCATCGTCATCGTCGTCGTCAGACGGGAGTGGTCGGTGGTGACCGAAGAAATGAACGAGTTGCTTTTCAAACGTTTGCTTGTTCGGCACGTCGCGCGTCATTGGGTGATTGACAGGTAGGCCAGTGCAGGCAAACGCTTGCTTGCACCGCTTGCAACGCAGGCGCCCCGAATATATTTCTCGTAGGAAACCACCGGAAACGGGTCACACGCGTGCGAGGGCACGTGCGCAGAGGACAGAGGTTGAGTCGCAGTTGAAGCGAAGGAGGATGGGAACAGTTTGCGGTTGTGACGATCAAGGCTGCTAGTGACGCCCGGTCCATGATATAGCGGCGGTTGCGGGCGTACTGGGAATGCGAGGAAGACAGAGGAGGGAGGGGTTTGGAGAGTAGGCAGCAGATCGGGTCAACCGAGGTTGCTTGCACTTGGTTGCCGGCCTGCACAGATTTTCGCAACCAAGGTCGCCCGAGACGCAGAGAACGACGAGAAGAAGAGACACTCGACTTGCAAGCCACTGCTATGGGACCAAACACAGCAGCGCTGGTGAGCACGGTGGGGACTAGGAATGGAAGGGGGACGAGCCGCGAAGAGGTGGGCGCAGGACGCAGGAGGTGGGCGCCGTCCGGGTGGAGGGTGGCGATGGCAACAGTCATCCTGGCTGCGATAGCCGTCGTAGGCGGGCGAGGCGCCCACGGGGCAGCAGTGGGCGAGGATAGGGTGCAGGTGGCGGTGAGTGTGAGCCCGTCGCCGCAGTCGCCCGGGCAGGTGGGCTGGTCCCAGGTAGGTGGGCAGAGCCTTCCTGTGCTAGCCGGCGTGGCCGACTCGATTGCGCTGGTGGCGGTTGCGGGCAGCGCGGCTGGGACAACCGGCGTGGTTTCGGTGACGTGGCCTGGCGGAAGCCACCCCGTGGCCGAGGCCATTACAGGTGCGGACCCGGGGATGTCGGGAACTTTGCTTGCGACCCCATCTGATGTTACTTTTTACTCTCAGTCGGTCGAGCTGCCGGTCTGGGCGAACAACTCGAGCCTGGCCGATGCGGCGCGCGAGAAGATGACGTCGCTGCTAGCGGACGGGCGTGGTTCGGACATGGGACTTGCGCATCCTGAGCGTGATGCCGGGTGGGCAGTGTCACACATGGTGGGGCTTGCCAACGCCAGCTCGGCCTTTGTCGTCCTGTCGGACACGTGGCGCAAGGCCAACGAGCCAATGTGGCTCGTTGTCGCGGCGCCGTGCCAAGGCCAAGCTGAGGCCGCGGAGGTTGTGGTGACCATCGCAGCACGGGAAGCAGGCAGCGGGGCAACCGAGGCGCCCGAAGTGACAACTGTGTCGCTTGAGTTTGAGTGCGCGCCGGCGTACGTGACGTGCGCAGAGCGCAACGACTGCTTTGCCGGCAGCGGCGGGGGCAAGTGCGTCAGCTCGTCTGTGGTACCGTACGTGATGTGCGAGTGCGAGGATGGGCGATTTGGCTTTGACTGCTCCGGCGTGTTCCGGCAGCGGATCTCGACAACGCCGCCTCCGCCTCCGCCTGGCGGGATGTTTGTGCCGGGGGCACTTTCCATTTGTGCAGGGACGCGAATGGAGATTGATGTGGCGCCGCCGTCGAGCCACACGCCGTTTACTGGCGACGTAGTGGCGATCTACGAGGCGACGTCACGCGAGGCGGTTGACTTTAAGTTTCTCTCTGACGACCGCTACCTCATTCCAAGCCGGCCTATTATGTCTGCGACGATCTCATTTGACTATGTTGACCCGGGCCTGTACCTGGTAGTCTACGTGGGCGTGAGCGCCGGATACGAGCAATTGGCCTCTGTGCTGGTCATGGTTCTTCCTTTTGGCCAGCCGTGCTTCCCGTCGTGTGACGTGTCGGCAGGCCGCAGTGGATGCTCGAATCACGGAACGTGTGTCGACGCTGGGCCTTATGGTGGGATGTGTATGTGTGAAGAGTCGTACTTTGGTGCTCAGTGTGAACTCGGGTGCGGCAGTGTCAACATCTCGGCGTGGGGTGGGGTGCTGGTTGACGGATCTGGGCCGTCGCTGCCGTCGAAACAAGCGACTTCGTGCCGGTGGCGCGTAAGCTCGACGGAGGCCGAAGCGACAACGATGCGAGTGATGTTCCGGCAGTCGACGGTGGATCCGAACACGCCGCTGGAGCTGGAGAGTCCGGGCCTGACTTCGCCGATCCAAATTCGCGGCTCTGTGGTACCGGAACCGTTTGACGTGCCGGTGCCGTTTACGATCAAGTACGACAGCTCGTTCTTTCAGCCGCAGTACGGGTGGGAGCTTGTGTTCTTTACTCGTGGTTGTCCGGCCGGCTCGTTTGTTGACATGGCGCCGACCGCGGCACCAGGCAACGGCGCGCCGGTGTGCCGGCCATGCGGGCATGGGATGTACTCGCCGGTTGCCGACTCGCTTGAGTGCCTCCCGTGCCCGGCTGGGACGACCGGCGAGGGACCTGGCATGGCGTCGTGTACAGTGTGTCCACCCGGGCGATACCAGCCATCCTCAGGAGGAACGGCATGCCTCAAGTGCCCGTCGGGAATGAGTGCGTCCCAGCCGGGGGCGACGACATGCGACCCCTGCGCGGTGGGAACGTTTGCGTCCGGCATTGAGCATGCGACCTGCAATCGGTGCGATGTCTCCGGGTTTGCACCGGATGTGGGCGCGACGAAGTGTGTCCCGTGCCCTCTCAACACGGAAGCACCGTTTCTGGGCGCGACGACGGTTGATGATTGCGAGTGTATGGCGGGTACGTACCACCCTAACGCCACGGGCGGCGAGCCGTGTCTCATTTGCCCTGACGGGGCGACATGCGCTGGAGGCTTGGCACGGCCGCAGGCCAAGCACGGGTTCTGGTTCTCGGACGAGCAACCGTTCTCGTTCTACCGATGCGTGGATGCGGCGCACTGCGCTGGCGGCGGGTCCGAGTCGTGCCGTGGGCATCGAACGGGCTTCCTCTGCTCCGAGTGTCCAGCCGGGATGACAGCATCGGGGCTTGGGTGCACCGAGTGTACGCCGTGGCGAACGTCGATTCTACCGATGGCCTCTGTGCTCGGCACGGTCGGGATTGCGATGATGTACCGTATGGCCAACCTGAACGACAACGACAACCTCAAGTCGACACTCGGGGTGGGCACTGCGCTCGGACTTTGGATCCAGTACCTTCAGTTTGCGGTGCTGTTCCGGCGGTTTGCAGTTGCGTGGCCGTCGTCGACGACGTCGCTGCTGGGCACACTCGCGTTTGTTAACCTCGATATTGAGCAGTTTGCTCTTCCGTGCTCGATGCCGTGGAACTACGGAGCAGTGCTTGCGATACGGCTGGCGTTGCCGCTGATGGTGGGCACGGTGCTCGTGGGCTGGCATGGCGTCCACCGGCTGCACGCGGTGTGGGTCCGGATTGTGCGCGGATGGGCGCTGCGGCGGCTCCCGAAGCTGGTTTCTCCTGAAGCGCGTGCACGGTTGCACGAGACGATGTGCAGCGGGCGAAGCGGGGTGGCTGACCGGCTCGTGGCTCGGATCCGGCTGTATGCCGGCGAGCTGCTCATTGAGTACCAGCCGATGAAATGGCGGCGAACGTTCAACGCGTTCATGCTCTTTACGGAAGTTGCGTACATTTTCCTTGTTACGTCGACGTTTGAGCTCTTTGGGTGCATGCCGTCGCGAGATGGTGTGGACGTGCTTGTGGCGCACGCATCGATTGAGTGCTACACGCAGGCGTGGTATGAGCTTCTTCCACTTGCGGTGATGGGCATACTGCTGTATGTCATTTTGCTGCCTGCGGTGTATGCGTATGGAGTGTGGCGAGTGCAAGCTACCGAGGCGGCGATGTCCGACGACCACTATGCGGCCTGGACTGCGTTCTCGTCGCTTGTGTTCAAGTTCCGGCGTTCACGGCGGTGGTGGATCTTTGTCGGCATGGTGCGGAAGCTCGCGATTTCTGTGGCGATTGCTTCGTTCCCGGCCGAGCCATTGGTGCAGGCGGTGTGCTCGCTGGGAGTGCTTGTGGCCAGTCTTGTGGCGCAGCTGCAGCAGCGGCCATACCGGCTGCGGCAGCACAACCAGGTGGAATGGGTGCTGACCTCGCTCAACGTCGCGCTTATCATGTGCGGAATCATGTTCTTCATTGACCGTTGGTCAGCAGAGACGTCGCAGGCGACGACTGTGGTGACGATTGCGCTGCTTGCGGCTTCTGCGCTGTACATTGGATATGTGGTGTACGTGGAGCTGAGCAGAGCGGCGACGGCGCGGCCGGTCGACCGCGACGCAACGACACGGGAGCTTTTCGCACGGCGGCACATTCCGCTGACGGCGGACTTGGAGGCGATGCTCGAGCGGCTCAATGTGACGTCAACGTTTTTGTTCCGGTATTTGGCGATTGCGTCTGACGACGACTTGTTGGAGGCGGCGCGGGTGGCATCGTCACTGCACCTTGGGCTCCAGCAGTCGGTGTCACTCAACTCGATGGGCCTTGTCAAGTGGTCGTCTGACTACCGCATCGGAAGCGGAGCCATCTCGTCGCGGTCATCGGCGTCGCGCAACTCGGCCCCTGCAGCATACGCGTCGCTGCCGGTCCTGGGTACGTCGCGTAACTCCGTTGCGCCGGAGCAAAGCCTTGGGTCTGCTGCGTCGGCGGCTGCACGACGGGCAGCGCGGGCGAATGACTCGTGGTCGTCGACGTCGTTGGCGCACTCGCAGTCGCAGCAACAGATCCCTGCAGCATTAACGGGCGAGCTGCTCACAGCCAACGTCCCGTCGCTGCTCTCGCAGCACTGGCACGGACCGAGCGGCATTGAGTTGCATTCGGCGGAAGGCGGAGTGCCGCGGAACGTGTCGACGTTTGTGACGCCAGCAACATCGCCGTCGTGCACCTCGTCGTCCCTGAATGTTGTTGTGCCGGACGGCAAGACAGGCGGGCTCATCGATGAGGAGATTCTCGCTGAGACAGCGGACATGGACGATGAGCTCGGGGCCTTCATTGCCGGCCTGACACGCAACGTGTCAACAATGACGCCGGCGTCGACATCGCGAACTGGGATGGGCTCGCCAAAGTCTCTGGCGTCAACACCGACGGCGCGGGCAGCAAGTCGGCTCACTCATGATCCGAGCAAGCAACAAGCTGAGGCTACTCGCAGCGCTTTCGCACCGGCGACAACAACGGCGGCATCGTCTCTGCTTGCTGGGGACGCGTCGCCGTCTTCGCATGGGCTGTCAGGCGTGGAGTTGCGCAGCCAGAGCGAGACGGTGTTGAGGTCGAAGGGCAGCATGCACAGTGGCGGCAGCAGCAGCAGCAGTAGCCTGGGCGACGTGTAAGCAGAACAAGTTTTGGATTTAGCAGAGTTGAACTCAAAGAGCAAAAACGGCCGGGTGGTTGGCAATCCAAACGGTGAGAATGCGTGTAGCTGTGGCGTGTGGGACCGATCGGAAGAGAGTTGGCGCAAAGACAAGCGACATGTTGGAGAGCTTCATCTTGTTGATTTTGGCGTTGGCAACAATGAGTGTGAAGAGGCGGACAAGCTTCGCGAGCGTGGCGGTGCGGGCTGGCGAGAGAAGCTGCATCAGATGGGCGTGGGCGGCGACGCATGTCTGGTCGTCGTCAATAGCGGCGGCGGACGAGAGAGCGGGAAGGAGCGAGCGCGGGAAGACGTCGGACGCGAGGTTCTTAAAGTGATACTTGAGGAGACCAGCGACAAGGTGTTCGTCACGGATATTACGGGCAGCGATGAGGCCCGACTGACCCGCAGCGTAAGCTGCGTGCAGTTCCTTGACACGGTTGAGCGAGGCCGGAATTCGGAATAGGCCCTTCTCACGGGTCCCGTGCTCGATGAGCCAGTCGAGGCACTCGGTGACAAGCGGTGGCTCAAAGTAGTTGTCGTCCGGTGGGGCCGAGTAGATGGTGGAGAAGAACGGGTGGTCCAAGTTTGGCCCAGCAGGCTGAGACGCAACCGGAGGGGGAGGTGCCGGGGCGCGCGAGGAAAGATCCCGGTACCCAGAGGCGTAGGCCGCGATGTCCGCATCCGAGCCCGAGGAGTCGTCCCAAGAGTTTGGCTCCGAGCCGTTTGCATACGCAGCAAGGTCCACATCACCCGACGACGAGGACGAGTCGTCTGAGTCTAACTGCGGCAGGTTGGGAAGCGACTGAGAGGCTTCGGCACGATCCCAGCAAGTAACATCGCTACGCGGCGGGCGGGTAGGAGGGGGGCGGGCGGACGTGCGTGCGGCTTGGCAATGAACGGCGGTGCTCGTGACGGTGGCGGAGGAGGGGACGGTGATGCTGAAGAGCTGCTGGAGCGGTGACCTAGACCCCTGTGAAGTGTGGACGAGGCTTCCGACTGCGAGCGACGGAGCGTGCCTTGGCGCTCGCCAACTACATCGGAAAGGCGGCGACGAGGGCGAGTTGACGGCGGCGGCGGCTTGGGTGCAGCACGGGCAGGGCGCGATTTTGGAGGCGAAAGTGGTGCGGGTGGCGAAGAGTTAAGCGAGGAAATGGCCGGAGAGGAAGAATTGAGCCTCGCCAGGTGGACCGAGAGCTTTCGCCGAGAGGACTTGGCTGGGGCAGGCGGCGGAGCGGCGGCGCGGCGGTCGGCGATGGAGCGCGGCGGCGGTGCAGCGGCAGCACGGGCTTTGGTAGGGTCGGGGAGCGTAAAGCCGGATGACTTGGAGCGCGAGTGGGAATCCGTCAGCGCGCGGCGCTTCCAAGGCGCAGTACGAGCAGAGTCAGGAGCCGGCGAATCGCCCGGCGACGGCGGGAGCGAAGACAGGGTTGAAGCAGCCGATGCGAGAGGGGGTGGGAGACCAAACAGGTCGGCAACAGCGCAGTTAATAGCGTGCGCATAGGGCTGCTCGCCATGTGCGGCATGGTCATCCCAGGCTTTTGCCTCTGCGGCGGTAGCGGTGGCGTCGTCGGCGCCGGCGTCGGCGAGGAGACGAAGCGAGGCGGTGCGGGCGTCCATGGCAGCAGGCGAGTTGTGCCAGGTCCGGGCCTGCAGCTTCTTAAGCAGGGTTGCGGTGCGCGACTCATAGTCGACGAGCGAGTCAGAAGTGTCGACCATGGCGGCCTCAAGCGAGGCTGCACGTGCGCTAAGGCCGTCGGCGGCGTCGGCGTCGGCGTCACCACCGGCAGGTGGCACTGCGGCGGCAAGCAGGCCGGCAATGACCGACACAATCCGCTCGCGCTTAGCAGGCTCAAGAGAGGCCAGCCACGCAGGTTCCGACATGCGCACAGCGAGGGGGAGAGGTCTGTAGGCAGGTTGCGGGGGAGGGGGGGTGACTAGTCAACGAAGGCAGAGAGACAAGCGCAAAAATATGGCGGCGTCAGACAAGCAGAGGCGCAGGTGGCGTTGTCAGCACCTCACTATGCTGTACGGCTGTTGTCGGAATGGACGAAGTGGATGTGACAGAGTGAACGATAGTGTATGTGGCTGTTGCAGCGTGGTTTTGATGTTGGGCTTCCTAGTAAAGGGGGTGGGGGTGGCCTGTTCGCTCGCTCGCTTGGGGGGCCGGCGGGGGCTATGATGGGCAAGGCCGGAGGAGGGAGGGGAGGAGTGGGTTGGAGGGCAGACTGGTAGTCATTGCCATTGATGTAGCTATCTCTATGCATCGTCTCCAATGCCCTGTGCATGGCTAGCTTGCTCTCGGTGGTGCCGGCGGTGGTCGGTCGGCGGCGGGCGGCGGTCGGCGGCGAGGAGCAGGCGGTCAGCAGCGGTGCTGTTGACGGGATGGCGTCGGCTGATGTGCGTATCGGCGAACAGGGAGTGGGTGGATATAATTGCGGGGATAGTGGGTACGTGTGGTGTGGATGTGGTGATTGTGGGTGGAGATGGTGGGGAGTGGGGGTCGGATATGGGCCCGCGGCAGGGGGGTCAGCACCTTCGAAGGGACACAGGGCCAACAAGTTGGGCCTCCGGTGGCAGAACTCGGATTCTGGAATACTGCAGCTGTGGATTGGAGACTGTGCAAGGGGGTAGTATGTGTATATAATAGGGTAGAAGTGAAACCAGATTGGCCATACCTTGCAATGAGGTTGGTGGGGGGCATGCGCGGGTCGGGCGGTCGAGGGCGTGCTCAACCACCTAGGCAAAACCAGCCGACGCGGAAATGAGCCGAGGACGATGGGTGTCGCTGACAGCGATATTTGTACTGGTGATAGTGCACGGTGAGTGATGAACTTGGGTGTGGTCGCGGGTTGGGTAGCTGGTAGTGGGAACGAGCTAGGCGGTGATGAGGGTCGGCTGTTCGGGCGAGCGGGCGGTGGCTGAAGGCTGGTGGTCGGCGAGGCGGGGGCAGCAGAGGGGGCGGGGTCGGGGCTGGGTGGCTCGAGATCGCTGTTGGTTAAACGATGCGCAGTCTGGCTTGTGATGGTTGAGGGGTATGGGTGTCAGGGTCGGGGATGAGGATGGAGGTGACGTAGAGTGGGGAGAGGAGGCGGAGGAGGAGGAAGAGGAAGCGGAGTGCGCGATGGGATGGCGGTGAGGATGGCCAAGGCAAGGTGGTGGTGGTTGTGGCTAGGATGATAGTGACGGTGGTGGGGTAGGGGGTGGGGGTGGTCGTTTGTGGTGACGGGTGGTAATGAGTATGGTAGGGGGGGATGAGGGGGTCGTGACGTGGGGTCGTGACGGGCGAAATGGTAGTAGGTATGGCGATTCAGCTTGAGGATTGATGTGGGTGAGTATGATACGGCTGATGGGTGTGTGTGGGGTGTGGTTGATGAGGGTGGAGGGGCTTGGGCGGCAGAGGGAAGGCGGCGGACGTAAATTCAGTTGAACATTGAATTAATTGAAGAAAAGCCGGAACCAGCATCAAACGAGGCAATGACGTCCACAAAAACAACCAAAGATCATACATGGCTTGCACAGCACATGTATGAGTAAGCCAACAGGGACTGGACAAAGCCAGCAGGCAATGCGATCGACTCGGGTGACGTTCAGGTCGATGAGGCAGGGCGCGGTTGATCGATCGATCAGCAGATCAACCAAGACCACGACACAACAGGGTCAACACAAAATACATTGCATGCACAACTATTGACCATGGCCAACGACAACAAAGTTGAGAATCGATGGTGTACTGAGCAACGGTCGATCATGGATGTGGAAGTCAAGGTCGACGAAAACAGGGGAGTCAAGAACAAATGAAGCATGACGAATAATGTTACAAAGCAACAACAAGAGCAAAGGCAATGATCAATGAGGATGCATGTCGATTGTGGTCAAGCATCAAAGCAAAAGCAACCTGAGCAGAACATGAAGGCAGACAATAGCAACCTCAAAGCATATGAAACCATGAACGGCAACGAACA